TTTTCTGTAACTCTCGATTCGCTCTAGAAAAAAGATCTTCACAAAATTTCGCTCTCTCTCGTAGATTAAAAAAATTTCCTAAAAAACTCTGGTAGAAAACAAATGGACTTGTCATCCTCTCTCTCGTTGCGTAACTTCATACAAATTCCATTTCAATCGTCAGTACCGTAAATTCATAAATCCCCAAATTTTTCTGCCCCACACCATAAAAAAGTCCTGTACAATTGACAAGACATCCCAAACTGCTCGTTGTTCCAAAAAGGAAGGAAAAAAAAATTTTTTAAATCACTCAGAAAACAGGAATTCACTTTCAGAAAGTAGTACCTCAAGATCAGAGGGCACAGTGTGAAGATCAGAATTGGCTGTATTGGAAGACTCCATTGGCACCCCAGAATTGCCCCCATTGGCACTGGCCTTGCCTCCTATCCTAAACTTCTCCTTCTTATTGGAAGTCCTAACGAGTACAGCAGTCCTCGGTGGATTACGACTATGAATACGTGGATTGCTGGATTGTCCAATTTTCTCGGCTTTCTTCAGTCTAACGCAGAATTTAAATGGCGGTTTGTAAACGATCTGCAGTCGAACGCGATCGTTCTTGGGATCCCTGGCGAAAGCAGCAGTGGTGCGATTGGCTTCTGCTCGTCTCCTGGGTTTTGTGATGGCAGTGAGGCGATTTGGACTGGTGATGCCAGCCCCAGTGGTCAAACCAGCGGGTGTCGACTTACTCTTGGTGAGGGGCTCGATCCTGCAGTGGGATGAGGAAGCTAACAACCAGGATCGTACTTTACTCTTGGGATCAGCATTGTCAGCCACCACAACGTTTTCCACTTTGTCGACTTTGTCAGCCTGCGCTTGCGAATAATCAATGACTTCTTTGCTCTTTCGTTTCTTCATATTCTTCACTGGTTTCGAGGGACTTTTTCTCTCTTCTTTCACCACTTCCTCGGTCAATGACCCCACAATTTCTCCCACTGCGGGCATATTAATTTCATTACCACCAAGGGGACAGTTGTGGGGTGCCTCCACCACCCCCTTGCCACCTGCTCCCTCGATGAATATTGGGGCCACACGTTTTTTCTTCTTTTTCTTCTTCTTCTGTATCATTATTTTTTTATTAGGCTTCTTATTGCTGCTTGGGTGTGTCTTCGTCGTTTTGTCGGGTCTAGATGTGTGTTGCTTAGCGTGGTGACGCTTTTCTCGGACTTTTCTGCTGAGGGGCAGCTTTGCTCGCACCGCTGGCGGATGAACTGTCACACCCTCAGCACCCTCAGGTGGCAGTCTCACTGTTTCCGTTGTCGAGCTGTGGATTATCGTTACTGATTTCAGCTTCAGGTCTGGACGTTTGCCCAGGTAACGGATGCTCGCCATCTGAATCCAGACGAGAATGTTCACAGGAATTATTCAATTTATTTTGGAGTAGGAGAGAGGGAATCGGGGAGACGGTTGAGAGGATTTTCGTGGGTGACTTACGTTTCTCGGGTAATTCCTTGGGGGACTTTTTACAGTGTGTCTGATGCCCAAATTAAATAAATCATATTTAATTGAGAAATAAGTAATAATTATTCAACGGGGTCAATAAATCATAGGTGAATTAATAAATCAAGAAAACATACGGTCATTGCTTCCATAATTGAGAGTATCCAAGGAATTTCTGAAGATATTCAGTTTCTCAAATTATATTTTTAATAGAAAATTCAAATACAAGAGAATAGTACATTTCGGCTTTATTTTCCCCGGAATTCAATTCCTCTAAAAGATACGTAAAAAAAATAATTGAATAGTGGTGGGACTAAAACGGGAGTCAACTATACCCATTTTCCAATCATTTTACAAACTTTCTTTACACCTCAAAGTAACCAATTAAATTAAGTCCTTCAAAAGTTCGAGTAATCTCAATAGCGTTGGAATAATTATGAAAAATACTTGGATATCCTCAAGTGACGCCAAAAATAATGAATAATCAATAAATAATGAAAACTTATAATGAATGAGAATTCTTGTGATACTCACGAGAAGCGAGATGGTCCCTAGGATAAGCAGAGCAACAGCATACCAATGCTCAGTAACCCATCGTCTGAACGTGGCAAGACTCTCATCCGACAGGAGTAATTTGCGTAGAGTTGCCAGTGGTCCACTGGGATCAACTTCCCTGCATTTCTGGAATACGTCGCAGTATCCGTTGTAATCATTGCACGGTGTTCCAGGCTTGGCAAATTTATCCGGGATGTCGTAGGGCGGAGAATTCCAATCGAAAGAGGAACTGTTTTAATAATTCAGAGTAATCGATAAATCACTGGGAAAATCACGGTCTGGAGCAATTGGAAAATTAATGGGCTTACAGGCATGGCTGATTTTCACCGGGCAGACGGCAGCACAGCTCACATGCTTTCGTTGGTGGATCGTTGGGTCCTGGTATGCATTGACAGGATTCTAGACCGAACGCCAAACAAATACTCCCAGTGCATTCCTAGAGCCCAAGGGGAATTATCCAAGTGAATTGTCTTAATGCAGATAATTATCAATCCAAACGCTATTCTAGTTTATTTGATTTCCTTCAAATCAGGCCATTATACGGTTTTCAGCGATTTTAATTCATTTTGTTTATTAATTTTACGTCATTGCTGACGTTTGGATGTATAAACACACTATAAACATTTCCGGAATTAATCGAAAATTCAATTTAACGAAAATAGTATTCCCGGTTGTTGGATTAATACGCCATTTTATAATTCTGATGAAAATCGGTGTTATAAAATATTTTGAAATGTATCTTTGAGAGAATTTCTTGATATTTAATTATTATTAATAATTCATTCGAATTTTTATGGAATTAAATGAATTGAGTCTTGGTAATGGTGATTATGGACAGTGTGAATAGAAATGAATTTCAATTTCTCTTCAGGTTCTATCAAATCCCAAGATATCATGTTCCGAACTTGGGAGTTTTATCGCCATTACAAAATTGATAACAGTAATTTTAAGATGGTTTCGGGAATATTGATCGGTGGAACGGAGGAAACGTCAGTTTAATTTCTGAAATACATGAATTTAAGTCATGATAATTTTGAGCAAATCAATTATCATTAATTCATACATCACGAATGTTTTGCGAATTTTCTCCTCAACGGAAAATAAGACTGATAAATAGCAACAAAAACGAGAAAAACTGCTGAAAATTTTTTCCTCGAAGTAAAGAGTATCAAGTCTCATTTTCGCGGAATATCTCTGAAACCGCGAGAGATAGCCAAATGTTTGTAAGAACTTTTTTTATAGCCCTCGTTCAACTCACCAAAAGAGGTGATGAGAAAATTTTCGCTATCTCTTCTAGATTCAGAGGTATTCCTCGAAAACTCAACGAGTATTACCTTTACCCTCGCCTCTTCACGTCTTTGCTATTTCTTCAGCAAAAAATATTGGAAACACTCACCCCCATGAAGCAGACGAATTCCTCATTACAAATAGTCTTATTAGGTTTATTAATGGAGGGTGGACAGTGTGGAGTTCTGCCATCGCAGAAACTGGCATCCCTGCAGCCATTGTCTTCTCTGCACTTGTCTCCAAATCTGAGTTTGCACTCATTGGTACAGCACGGCCCTTGGCTAGGGCTGCATGTTGCCCTCGGGGTGAGAGTGCAGGGTTTTCCCTCAGCCGGAGGATATCTTCTCTGTGGAAAACAACAGGTATCCCTGCAGTCCTCTTCCCAGCCGCAGTCGCATTCCTCCCCATCCTCTACGACTCCATTCCCACAGAGAGATGCCTGTGGCTCAGTGAAACATCCCTTGGGTGATCTCGCTTTGGTATTCAATACTGGATTTATCGCATTTAAACTGCACGGACTGAAGCGATTATTGTTGCGTTTATCTCCGCTAGTAGCACGTGCAAACATTATAAAGTTACCGTCCTCACCACCGGGTGTACACTGCTCTGGATCATGCTGAAAAAATGAGAGAGGTATAGCTTTAATTAAAAGTTCATTGATCAAAGTTACCAAGACTCGCACTCACTGGTGATCCAAAATTATGGCCAATCTCGTGTGCAAGGGTCACATGGGAAACAGCAGGTGGCACGTGCTTTCCATAGTTTAACAGCGTCACGATACCTGTGTTCAGGGATTTCATACTCCCACGGTAATGCTGGAGGATTTTGGCAATATTAGATTGTTTATCGGATAAATTTTATGGTCTATGGAATTACTAATGGAATTTCTAATCGGGAAAATTCTATTGTTATACACATTCACTTCTTGTGAACGGTTCATTGAAATTATTTCAACTTTCATCAATAATCAATATTCATCACCAAACATCAATAAACACTGACTGCCACGACTGAAAAATTGCATTTCAGGGGTTTTTAGGGCATGGTGGTTCGACGGAAGAGGAAAAATCAAAAATGCAAATTCCAATGATTACAATGCTTCCATCCGAAAGCAAAAATGATTAAAGTCAGGAGTTGGTAGAAGTTCAGAGCTATTTCTGGAAGAAAACTTACCCCATTCTTCTCACAAACACCCCCAGCATTCTTCAAGTCCCCAGTCCAAGCGAGTCCCAGCGTTCCCATCTCAAAGTCTCGATACGTGAACATGTACGCCAAACAAAAGGCGTCATAGTCCTCCTCTGGAATAATCCCCCCAGATCCCGATTACCACGAGTAAAAATAGACGAAAAACAAGAAGAAGAAAACTTCAATAACTCCCCACAATGGCATTATTCCCCGTAATTGATTAACTCTCCGATAATTACCTGAGAAAAGTTCGAGAAACTTTTCAACCCCGTAATTCCCGGGGAACCTGTAGTTGGGGTCCTTGAGTGCCTCGCCGCTGTGCACCTTGACACGTTTTATCATGAAACTTATGTTATCGGGCCTGCCATCTTGGTTGAAGTCAGTGTGTTTGTAGATTGAGTTGACTCGTTGTACGTGCCTTGTCATTACTTCGATGCAGGCCTCCTCAGTGCCATACCGTGAGAAAAATTGATGATCAGCTTGGAGATAGAGCATGCAGGTGGTCTTCTTCGGATCTACTGTTGCTCGTTTGTGGAGATGCCTCGTTATCCTGTTTCTGTCGCTCGTCAGTCCTGAGTTACCGCTTTTCTTCCCTGGCATCAGCAGAATTAATTGATAAAAACTGATAAAACATGCAGAGAGAAAAATCTCTCCTGATCTTGAAAGAGCATTCATAAAAATATTTTCTTCAATCAAGGAGAGATTTTCTATCATTAATTCTTTTATAATATCCATAAACTTTTGTTTCCGTTTACACACTAGTGAGATAATTTCCAGTAGATAGTCTGAATAATTCAATAGGGAAGTGGTAAAGGGAGATAAGGAGAGTTTTACAGTTCCATTGAATATTGATGGATCTAAAGTACTGATTTTAGGAGGAAATATCAAGAGAACGTTTTTATTCGCAGGTTAAACAGCCGTAAAAAAACCCTTAAATATTTTGACGTTGAATTTATAGGTTCATTTAAAGTCTTCGGGCTAAATCGTTAATCAGTCCTTAAATCGCATTAATGATTTCTACATTAAGGGGAACACTGGCAATTTTTTAAATGATTGAAATTATTCTGTCATTTTGCAGTTCGCTTCTGTAATTAAAATCCAAAGCTTTCACTGCAACTCTAATTAAATCTCAGTTTCTAGTCTATTTGCACTGTTATTAGCAATATTGCTAATAATTCATGGGCTTAAGAGTATTTTTTTAGTAAACGAAATGATTATTTTCATATTCTGAATTTTATCAGAGGCCGATTCGCGATGAACGATAAGTCTTCGGGGCATCGAAGAAATTGCCACCATTTATTGATTAGAAATGAATCTTCAATGAATAATTTTTTGACAAATATTCACTAGACTATTCCAAAATTCTTAAAACTAGAAAAAAGACGATATTTAATGCACGCTCATGAAATTCTGTGCGTCATGAAGCAATTGTAAAATGAAAGAACGCTATATTTTTTCAGGTCAATCCGATCGACAATTGAATTTAATTTTTGCTCAACAGAGGCAGAGGAGGTCTCTAAACGAAAAAAAAAAACAATTCATTTCACCGCGCATTCCTCCGATATTAAAAGTAAATTTCCCCTGGTATGTAACTAGCAAACAAAATACGCGTAATTTGAAATTAGAGAATGCAGTGTCATCCACAGGAATCATAAGCCCCCTAGGATGTCCTTAAAATGAAGAACCTGCAATGTGGAGAGGCCTTGATAACGATTTATGCACGCCCCTGTCGTCCATAATACGTGTCTTATATTTTCACCTCTGGTGGTTTTGCGACTGGCAAAAACCAGCAATAACCCTTCACCCACCTTCTCTGGAGTAATAACCCCCATAATTCCTGATTTTGTGGTCCTGCAGCTGCTCGAAATACGGCTCGAACGATCCCCCATCATCATGGTGACCCTGTTGATGCTCCCCAGAATGACTGAAGCTCAAATTTCCATAGCGGAGATTCTGACTGGCACACTGTTTCCCGGACTTGGGATTGACGACGTCCGATGCTCGATATGCTATCGTGTGGTAAGCTGGTGATGTATCGATCACTTGGTCCTCATTGTTTCGATTGGGTGAACTCCGAGCCAAGTACCTACTCGTCGGCTCGAAATAGTACTCCTCCAGTTGAGTTGATACCGAACCATCGAACAAACCGTCAGCCGTTACGATTCCCTCCACCACAGCATTCTCATCCTCTGGAGATTATGAATATTTCAATTAGATGACGAGTTTGGGTTATCGATTCGGATATTAATGGTCGGGTATTACTGCGGGGGAATTTCGTGGATTATTTAATGGCTCGAATCGCTCAGCCGTTTCGAGCTCAATGGCATTGGATAATTAGGATTGGCGGTGCCGACATTGGTTATGGGGTTTATAGCGACAAGAACTAGCTCAAACTGGACCATTGAGGCGTGCGAATAGTATAGTCGAATCAAATCGAATCGTACACCAATATTCTATTCCAAATTCCCATATCCCATTCTTTTTTTCCAATAACTCCTATTTCCAATATATTCCATCATTG